CTGAACAAATGAGTATCAGAATGGTGTCCATGTTTGGAGCATATCTGAATTGTATCTAGAAGAGGCTCTAAATGAGTATCAGAATGTCATCCGTGTCTAGAGCGTATTTGTACTATATATGGAAGTTGAAAAATGAATGAGTATCAGAATGGCATCCGTTTCTGGAGTGTATCTGAACTTTATCTGAAAGTTGGATCTGAATGAGTATCAGAATGGCATCCGTGTCTGGAGCATATCTGAACTGTACCTGAAAGTTGGGTCTTAATGAGTATCAAAATGGCATTCATGTCTGGAGTGTATCTGAACTATATCTGAAAACTTTGAACATTGTTAATGGTAGTTGTTAACCTTATCTTGAAAAGGGTAAAATGTTAGCTAAAATGCAAAGTCATGTTGTATGAAATGCATGGTATAATGCATTTGTGTTATCAATGTTTATGATATATGGATGCAATGTAGGCGTATGCAAGATAATCTGCCACACTATTGTTGGATTGGGGAAAATAAATCCCTGGCTGCTGTTGAGGATATGGAGTATAAGTCTTCATGTTGTGAAGTCTAAGTTTTGATGAATTTCTGCTTGGAGGAATAGACTCTGTTGTAAGGGAGATGCCGTGTACTGCTTGTAAAATCCTATTGCGGAATCTTGAGAATTTTGACAACTTCTATTGGGGATTGATAATTGGAAGCTTTGTTCTGCTGGGGATTAAATTTCACACTGCGGGGAATTACGGAAATAGCATAGAGAGATTTCCCTACCTCTTAAAGCCATCAGTGATTGTCTTTCTATTTTTCTTATTTATAAACAGTAATTATATTCAAATGCATATGTTCAAAAATGAATCGTTGGACGTTTTTGCAAATAAAACACAAGAGTAAAGGAAAAAAAAACATTTAGTTTTGCACTTTCAAAGGGATATCTTTGTATTGACTTTGAGTAAGTATTTTTGTACAATGAGACAAACATTCTAGTAAGAGAATGTCGTCGCAAAAAAATGAAAATTTTGATACAAAGAAAAGATAGCTATGTGCAATAATCCCACGGGGTTCCCCTTCTACTATAGCCTTCGTATCTCTGAGCATATTGTCTATTTGTTGCATTGTCCTAAGTTGATTGAATTGATCATAACCTCTGAGTTTGCAGGTTGTCTGTAAGGTGATCCAACGGGACATAGTCATACGCTTTAATTCCCTAAATTTTGCCTGGACCGCCCTTTCGGGTTTTCAGTCCACCGGGATACCCTTTTTTGCCCAAGCCGCCCTTTCGGGTTTTCAACTTGCCGGGTGTACAGATTCTTTTTTTTTTATCTCTAATTTTTGCTCGAACCTTTTTGGTTTGCCGGGATGCCCTCGTTTTTCCTAGGTGTGTCAACCTAGCGGATCTCTTATGCATAGTATCTTTTGACTATGTATGCGTTTGCAGGGTGCGGCAGGTCATTAGCATCCATGGTGGTCAAGATCATTGCGCCACCAGAGAATATGTTTTTTATTACAAATGGTCCTTCGTATGTAGGAGTCCATTTTCCCCTGGGATTACCTTACGGTAGTATGATGTGTTTGATCACCAGATCTCCAACTTGATATACTTGTCGTCTGACCTTTTTTTTGAAAGCCTTGATCATCCATTTTTGATACATTCGACCATGACAGATAACATTAAGCCTTTTCTCATCAATTAAGTTTAGTTGATCAAGTCGATTCTTGATCCAATCTTCTTCATTCAACCTTGCATCCTTCATGATTCTTAGAGAGGGGATCTGGACCTCAATAGGAAAAACAACTTCCATGTCGTAAACCAGAGAAAAGGGTGTTGCCCCGGTTGATGTGTGAGTTGTGGTACGATATCCGTGGAGAGCGAATGGTAGCATTTCATGCCAGTATTTGTATGTGACTGTCATTTTCTGTATGATCTTTTTATTGTTCTTATTTGCAGGTTCGACAACACCATTCATCTTTGGCCGGTAAGGGGAAGAATTGTGATGCTGAATCTTGAATTGCTCGCACAAGGCGGTGATCATAGTATTGTTCAGGTTTGTACCATTGTCTGTAATGATCCACTCTTGGATACCGTAACGATAGATGAGATTCTTCTTGATGAATCGGGCGACAACATTATTGGTCACTGAAGTGAAAGAAGGTGCCTCCACCCACTTGGTGAAATAGTCAATGGCCACTAAGATGAAGCGGTGTCCATTGGAAGTTGTTGGCTTGATTTCCCCAATCATATCAATTCCCCACATAGAAAAGGGCCAAGGAGCCGTCAAGACATTCAGAGGAACCGGAGGTACATGCACCTTGTCAGCATAAATCTGACACTTGTGGCAGGTTCGAGAGTGTTGATAGCAATCTGCTTCCATGGTAGACCAGTAATAGCCTGCCCGTAGGATTTTCTTTGCCATCGTATGCCCACTGGAATGGGTGCCAAAAGTGCCTTCATGTAACTCAGCCATGATCCTTTCAGCTTCAACCTTGTCTACACACTGAAGTAACACAGAGTCATGGTTGCGTTTGTAAAGAATGCCATTACTAAGGAAGAATTTAGCAGAGAATCTCCTTAAAAACTTCTTATCATTGACTGAAGTTCCTTCTGGATATTCTTGGGTTTCGAGATACCTCTTGACTTCGTGAAACCAAGGTTGGTCCACTACTTCTTCAATATTAATCTCGTGACAGTATGCTGGTTCATCCATCTGTTCAATGGTGATTTGGGGAGCCTCGTTATCCCATTTAAGTTTAAACATAGATGACATTTTGGCCGGTGCGTCTGCTAGCTGATTATCTTCTCGCGGGAAGTGCTTGAAGGTAATCTTCTCAAAGTGTGGGAGCAATGTCAAAACATGTTCTTTGTAAGGAATATGGTTAGGGCGTCTGGTGTCCCATTCCCCTTTGACCTGGCTGATAACAAAAGCTGAATCTCTGAATACATTCAAAAATTTGATCCCCAAGTCTATGGCAGCTTTGAGACCAAAGATGCACGCTTCGTATTCTGCCATGTTATTTGTACAATTGAAGCAGAGTCTTGCAGTAAATGGAGTATGACACCCTTCAAGAGATATGAGTATTGCACCAATACCATTGCCGAGTGCGTTAGATGGCCCATTAAAAACCATGGTCCATCGGGGTCCTTGTTCAGGTCCGTCATATGGCCTAAATTCTTCACAGTTGTTTATCGTCATGATGTCTTCATCCGGGAATTCGAACTTCATGGACTGGTAGTCTTCCACAGCTTGGTGAGCAAGGTGATAAGCTAGTACATTGCCCTTCATTTCCTTCTGGGTAGTATACTATATGTCAAATTTTGTTAGGATCATCTACCATCTCGCTATTCTCCCAGAGAGAGCAGGTTTCTCGAAGATGTATTTTATTGGATCCATTTTAGATATTAACAAGGTAGTATGGGTCAGCATATACTGTCTTAGCCGGCGAGCAGCCCATGCCAGAGCATAGCAAGTTTTCTCGAGCAGTGAATATCTTATTTGTTAGTCGGTAAACTTTTTGCTCAGGTAATAAATAGCGTGCTCTTTTCGGCCAGACTCGTCATGCTGCCCCAGCACACACCCCATTGAATTTTTCAAAACAATCAGATACATGATCAATGGTCTTCCATCAACTGGTGGCATCAAAACATGAGGCTCTTGCAAGTATTCTTTGATCTTGTCAAAAGCAGTTTGGCACTCATCATTCTATTTGACTACTTGATCTTTCTTCAATAGTTTGAAGATTGGTTCACAAGTAGCTGTCAGGTGAGAAATGAATCTGGCAATGTAGTTTAAACGTCCCAAGAATCCTCTGACTTCCTTCTCAGTACGAGGAGCAAGCATCTCTTGTATAACTTTCACCTTGGCAGGATCTACTTTAATACCTTTATTATTGACGACAAAGCCTAGGAGTTTACTAGACCTTACTCCAAACGTGCATTTATTTGGGTTCAACCTCAGCTTGTATTTCTTTAGCCTCTAAAACAGTTTCTGTAAATGATCAAGATGCTCTTCTTCTGTTTGAGATCTAGCTATCATGTCGTCCACATAGACCTCTATTCTGTGATGTATCATATCGTGAAATAGAGCTACCATGGCACGTTGATAGGTTTCCCCCGCATTCTTCAGTCCGAATGGCATAACCTTGTAGCAGAATGTGCCCCACTGTGTGACAAATGTTGTTTTCTCCATGTCCTCAGGCACCATTTTAATTTGGTTGTAACCTGAGAAATCGTCCATGAAGGAAAACACTTTGTGTTATGTAGTATTTTCAACTAGGATGTCAATGTGGGGAAGTGGAAAATCATCCTTAGGGCTTGCCCTATTAAAATCTATGTAGTCCATGCACATTCGTACCTTTCCATCCTTTTTAGGCACGGGGACAACATTGGCAACCCATTGCGGATAGGAGGTGACAGCCAAGAATCCAGCATTGAATTGTTTCATGACTTCTGCTTTAATCTTCTCTGACATATTTGGTCGCATTCGATGGACCTTTTGTTTTACTAGTGAGAAATCCTCTTTTGTAGGTAAACGATGTACCGCAATATCTACGTCAAGTCCTAGCATGTCTTCATACGAACAGGAAAAGACCTCGACATACTCGTGTAATAATTGAATCAGACGCTCCTTGACACTGGGTTCCAGATTGGCACCCACCTTGACCTCTCTTCTGTCTTCTTTGGTACCTAGGTTGATTGTATCCACTGGCTCTTCGTGGGGCTGAATGGCTCTCTCTTCTTGTAGTAGAAATCTGGCAAGTTCCCCTGGTACTTCACAATCTTCCTCACCTTCGTCTTCAGCTTGGTAGATTAGAGATTCAGAGTCACAAAAGGCCATCGCAGAACTGTTATCCATGGGATCCCGAATGGATGTAGACCTGCATTGTGAGTGTGAGTGTGTGTAAGGGTATAATTATCTTTGAAAGAAATGAAAATGTAAAAAGGAAAAACAATGAGCACAAAGTTTGTATGCAAAACGTCCCTGATTCATTGATGTCATATGGAAATGAGATAATAACCCTTACAAATGGACCAATTGTGCCTCGGGTAAGACACAAGGTTTTAAGAGTTTGAATTGTTTTAATATTACAGATCCAACAAAATGTAAAGACAAATTATTATGGGATAAAAGTGACCGGGACAAAATCTCTATCCTCCCAATTATTGAGCCTTCCACTGATAGTTGGAAGATCCAATCCTCCAGGTTGCAACCATTTTCATCATCCTCTACCGCGTTGACTTCACGGTTGCTGATCTTCAGGGGTGGTCCTCCAACACGAGTGCGACGTATAGCCTTCTGAGCACTTGAAGTGAAACCTAAGCCAAACTTGTCATATTTGTATTGGATATCTGGTGAAACAACCGGCTGAAAATCATCAAACAATGAAATCGCCATCGAACGTCTTTTATCCCATATGAAGGGAAAGGTAAACATCGAGGAAACCTGAGAAGGGTGAAATCAAGGTAGAACGACCAAGAGATAAGGGTAAGGGAGTCTGTTACGCGAGGGGAAGGTATTAGCACCCCACACGCCCGTAGTACTCTACGGTATCCACTCTTGTTGTCTATCTTATGGGTGTGTTCAATCTATGCTTATTGTTTACTATACTACTGGAGGGAATGCATGCAAAAGAATGTTACCTGTTTATTTTCCAGTTTATCTGATACCTGCCCTAATAGTTAACAGAAAAAGACTTTTACAAAGGCCTTTTACAATATTGACAAAGGTTCTTATTGGCACTACAAGATCAAGCTTGTTTCTGTCAGTATACTGTACATCCGCCTGGATGTGGACATGCTTTCTGTTTAGGATCTTCAAAAGATGTAACATTCCAATGGTGGCCATGGGAACGTTCCCACCTGGCCTTAGATTAGATATTGAAAAGAAAAGCAGGCGAATGGAGATATCATTATATTGCCTTGCCCGAGCTATTGAGAGTTTCTTCACATGCATAGCTGATGCTGGCTTTCTGCCACCGTCTAGAAGGATCAAGAGAGCCGATGTTGTAGTTTTCAGCTTGTCAACAACTTCAATGCCACAAGCACCGCCATCATCTTCTGCTGAGAAAACACAGGATAATTCAAATGCGGTTGGAAACACAAGTCCTACTGGCCAATTGGAACTCAACCTGTAAAATCGCATCAAAACAATCAACAATCAGAACCAAAACTAACAAACTCTCTAACTGCAATAACCAAAAAAAACAGAAAACAAACTGCATAGAAAGTTGGAAAGTAGAAAATTAATTAAAACAGTTCAGCTCAACAGCTTAGGAACTAAAAACTTCTAACCAAAACTTTCTAACAGAATTCTAACATAAATTTCCTAACAAACTATTAACAAACTCTCTAATTGCCAAACAGAATTAACAACTAATTTTCCTAAAAGAGTAACAAACTCCTCTAACAGTTTCTACCTTCTAACCGCCTAACCAATTTCTAAATAACTCATTCAACTGTCCTAACTAAATTCTAGCATTTTTTAACTAACTTTCACAAACTTAACAAACTTCCTCCAACCTCCAAACTAATTTTAACCAATTCCAATAACTAACTTCCTCATAACAGAATTTTTGACAACTAATTTTAACTAATTCCATAACAGAATTTTATAACCAAACTCATAACAGCTCTGCAGTATAAGATAGAGTAAATTCACCTTGGTTGAAGGGGGGGTTTTCGTTCAGAAATTCCACATAAGAAGGTGTCTCATCTTCATCCACAAAAAACTCCAGAAAAATTCTCAATCCCTTTCTCTCTGAAAATCGCTTCAGTCATCATCTTCATCTCCCTTCAATCCTCATCATCACTTGAATCTTCACGATTCTTCAATCGCGATGATCTTCACCATAACTTCACCTCCTTAATCCTCATCACAGAACCATGAACACCATCAACTTCATTACCCCTGCTTCAAACAACAACAACACGTTGTGGCAGCGTTTCTGCATCAAATCAGAAATCAATTCATGAATCTTGCAATAGCATTAAGCAACAACAGCTACACTAATGCGATAGCACCGATATCGTCACCATCTTTGTGTTTACTTCATTACATATCGAAAAAAGGAAATAAAAGAAGGGCGATAGAAGACGAATCAAAAGCGATTCGAGATATACATACATGAGCAATTGTTGAAGATGCTCTCCGACATCTCATCATCTCCGTCGCGCTTGAAACACCATCGGAGCGACTCCAAAAAATAATTGGAATCTGAGATCGGAGCGAGTTCGCACAGAAGAAGTCGCGCCGTTGAAGTTGGATCAGAGATGCTTGCAAAGTGAAGCGAATCGGAGACGAAGATTTGTGGAGAAGCCGCACCGTCAAGTTGAAGAGGAAGGAGATCGTTTTCTCATAGAAGATAAAGAGACATAAAATCTTGAACCTTTTTTTCCCATCATTTCAATTTCTTTGTCTTTATTTTTCTTACTTAATAATAATTCTAGTGATAATAATAGTGTGTTGAATGTTTGTATGGGCCGAATCACATCCATAGGCCAGTCAATTTATTTTTCAGCATAAAACCATTGATACAAAAAAAGAAGCTTCTGGACCCTACTGGATGGGCCTATGCGCCAGATTCCAGACCATACTCCCTAGACTCAAACTTCACACCCCTGGATCTCTACTTAGCACCCCCTAACTCATTCTAATTTCTTTGGTTTTAAATTTTGTTTTTTTAGTTTAATTTTCTTTTTTTTAATAAAAATAGTATTGAAATACCTATAATAAAAACAATCAAAATGTATAGAATTTAGGAATTCCTCTTAATTCTTTTTTAGATAATGAACTACAAAAATTAGTAAATTTTTCTAGGCTTTTGATTTTATTTTTGGAAATTAATTCCTAATTTTTCGATTATTCGAAATTCATGATTCACTTTTGCTTTATTGAGATTTAAATCTTATGCGGGTTTATTATGCGATATGCGGATACGCTTGAAATTTCGATTATGATTTATTTTCACATCGATGATGCTTCAACAATTATTCCGAGTATTGGACTTCTGAATCTTTTCTTTGTTGATGCTAGCAGCTTGCGAGATCATCAGGTTTCTTTACTTTTTGCTTTGCTCTACGGGCTAGTACTCGTTTGGTATATTTTCTTTCTATTTTAACCCCGCATTTTTCGCTTCCCATAGATCGTATGAAGTATGATAACATTAGGTTTAGAAATAGGTTAGTTTCCCTTTGACTTTTCTTTCCCTTTTTGCATGTGCATTTAAAACTAAAACTTCTTTTACTTTCAAACTTCAAAAAAATACTTAAAAATTGCTGGCGAGAATCGTGCCTTTGTTGAACATGGGAGATGATAAGCGGGTCTCTTCTCGATCTTGTCGTTTTTCCATTCTAAGCCTTGGCACGGTTCAAGTCTCAAAGACTCATTTCATGAATAAGTAGAGAAATGGCTAAAATCTCTCCCTTAAGATTAACTAGTTGTTATCTACAAGCAAAAATATCAACCAATACAAAATCTTTCTGCCTTCAGGCCTTTCTTTCAAAACCTTTTCAAAATAAGCGTATTAATTCACTTCTGTGATGACGCGTAAGTCTCCAAAGGTCGAGTTACGGCAGAAGGCGAAATTAATATCGTGCATTACAAACAAACAAGTTCAAACCATTTTGTGCGCTCGAGCACCTTTTCTTTAAAACCCTTTTCAGGTAAGGACACGATTAATTTACTTCTGTGCCAACACATAAGTCTCCAAAGGTCGAGCTGTGGCAGAAGGCGAAATTAACTTCGTCCATAAAAAACACAAACACACAAAAACATATAAGCCGAACTACGGCTGCTCTGATTCCTTAAAAGGGATACGTAGGCATCGGGGTAGGGCCCGAACGAGCACAACTTTTATTTTCCCTACATTCTTTTCCCCTTTCTTTTGCATGCATTCCTTCCAGTAGTATAGTAAACAATAAGCATAGATTGAACACACCCATAAGATAGACAACAAGAGTGGATACCGTAGAGTACTACGGGCGTGTGGGGTGCTAATACCTTCCCCTCGCGTAACAGACTCCCTTACCCTTATCTCTTGGTCGTTCGACCTTGATTTCACCCTTCTCAGGTTTCCTCGATGTTTACCTTTCCCTTCATATGGGATAAAAGACGTTCGATGGCGATTTCATTATTTGATGATTTTCAGCTTAGCTGTAAGCTGAAGCAACCGGCTGAAAATCATCAAAACAATGAAGTCGCCATCGAACGTCTTTTATCCCAAAGGTAGGGAAAGGTAAACATCGAGTAAAACTGAAAAGGGTGAAATCAAGGTCGAATGACCAAGAGATAAGGGTAAGGGAGTCTATTACGCGAGGGGAAGGTATTAGCACCCCACACGCCCGTAGTACTCTACGGTATCCACTCTTGTTGTCTATCTTATGGGTGTGTTCAATCTATGCTTATTGTTTACTATACTACTGGAGGGAATGCATGCAAAAGAAAGGGGAAAAGAATGTAGGGAAAATAAAATTGTGCTCGTTCGGGCCCTACCCCGATGCCTACGTATCCCTTTTAAGGAATTAGAGCAGCCGTAGTTCGGGTTATATGTTTTTGTTTGTTTGTGTTTTTTATGGACGAAGTTAATTCCGCCTTCTGCCGCAGCTCGACCTTTGGAGACTTATGCATTGGCACAGAAGTAAATTTATCGTGTCCTTACCTGAAAATGGTTTTAAAGAAAAGGTGCTCGAGTGCACAAAATGGTTTTAACTTGTTTGTTTGTAATGCACGATATTAATTTCGCCTTGTGCCGCAACTCGACCTTTGGAGACTTACGCGTCAACACAGAAGTGAATTATTACGCTTCTTTTGAAAAGGTTTTGAAAGAAAGGCCCGAAGGCAGAAAGAGTTTGTATTGGTTGATATTTTTGCTTGTAGATAACAACTAGTTAATCTCAAGGGAGAGATTTTAGCCATTTCTCTACTTATTCATGAAATGAGTCTTTGAGACTTGAACCGTGCCAAGGCTTAGAATGGAAAAACGACAAGATCGATAAGAGACCTGCTTATCATCTCCCATGTTCAACAAAGGCACGATTCTCGCCAGCAATTATTAAGTATTTTTTTGAAGTTTGAAAGAAAAAGAAGTTTTAGTTTTAAATGCACATGCAAAAAGGGAAAGAAAAGTCAAAGGGAAACTAACCTATTTCTAAACCTAATGTTATCATACTTCATACGATCTATGGGAAGCGAAAAATGCGGGGTGAAAATAGAAAGAAAATATACCAAACGAGTACTAGCCCTTAGAGCAAAGCAAAAAGTAAAGAAACCTGATGATCTCGCAAGCTGCTAGCATCAACAAAGAAAAGGGTCAGAAATCCAATACTCGGAATAATTGTTGAAGCATCATCGATGTGAAAATAAATCATAATCGAAATTTCAAGCGTATCCGCATATCGCATAATAAACCCGCATAAGATTTAAATATCAATAAAGCAAAGGTGAATCATGAATTTCGAATAATCGAAAAATTAGGAATTAATTTCCAAAAATAAAATCAAAAGCCTAAAAAAATTTACTAATTTTTGTAGTTCATTATCTAAAAAAGAATTAAGAGGAATTCCTAAATTCTATACATTTTGATTGTTTTTATTATAGGTATTTCATTACTATTCTTATTAAAAAAAATAAAATTAAACTAAAAAAACAAAATTTTAAACCAAAGAAATTAGAATGAGTTAGGGGGTGCTAAGTAGAGATCCAGGGGTGTGAAGTTTGAGTCTAGGGAGTATGGTCTGGAATCTGGCGCATAGGCCCATCCAGTAGGGTCCAGAAGCTTCTTTTTTTTTGTATCAATGGTTTTATGCTGAAAAATAAATTGAGTGGCCTATGGATGTGATTCGGCCCACACAAACATTCAACACACTATTATTATCACTAGAATTATTATTAAGTAAGAAAAATAAAGACAAAGAAATTGAAATGATGGGAAAAAAAAGGTTCAAGATGTTATGTCTCTTTATCTTCTATGAGAAAACGATCTCCTTCCTCTTCAACTTGACGGTGCGGCTTCTCCACAAATCTTCGTCTCCGATTCGCTTCACTTTGCAAGCATCTCTGATCCAACTTCAACGGCGCGGCTTCTTCTGTGCGAACTCGCTCCGATCTCAGATTCCAATTATTTTTTGGAGTCGCTCTGATGGTGTTTCAAGTGCGACGGAGATAATGAGAAGTCGGAGAGCATCTTCAACAATTGCTTATGTATGTATATCTCGAATCGCTTTTGATTCGTTTTCTATCGCCCTTCTTTTATTTCCTTTTTTCGATATGTATTGAAGTAAACACAAAGATGGTGACGATATCGGTGCTATCGCATTAGTGTAGCTGTTGTTGCTTAATGCTATTGCAAGATTCATGAATTGATTTCTGATTTGATGCAGAAACGCTGCCACAACGTGTTGTTGTTGTTTGAAGCAGGGGTAATGAAGTTGATGGTGTTCATGGTTCTGTGATGAGGATTAAGGAGGTGAAGTTATGGTGAAGATCATCGCGATTGAAGAATCATGAAGATTCAAGTGATGATGAGGATTGAAGGGAGATGAAGATGATGACTGAAGCGATTTTCAGAGAGAAAGGGATTGAGAATTTTTCTGGAGTTTTTTGTGGATGAAGATGAGACACCTTCTTCTGTGGAATTTCTGAACGAAAACCCCCCCTTCAACCAAGGTGAATTTACTCTATCTTATACTGCAGAGCTGTTAGGAGTTTGGTTATAAAATTCTGTTAGGGAATTAGTTAAAATTAGTTGTCAAAAATTCTGTTATGAGGAAGTTAGTTATTGGAATTGGTTAAAATTAGTTTGGAGGTTGGAGGAAGTTTGTTAAGTTTGTGAAAGTTAGTTAAAAAAATGCTAGAATTCAGTTAGGACAGTTGAATGAGTTAATTAGAAATTGGTTAGGCGGTTAGAAGGTAGAAACTGTTAGAGGAGTTTGTTACTCTTTTAGGAAAATTAGTTGTTAATTCTGTTTGGCAGTTAGAGAGTTTGTTAATAGTTTGTTAGGAAATTTATGTTAGAATTCTATTAGAAAGTTTTGGTTAGAAGTTTTAGGTTCCTAAGTTGTTGAGCTGAACTGTTTTAATTAATTTTCTACTTTCCAACTTTCTATGCAGTTTGTTTTCTGTTTTTTTTTGTTATTGCAGTTAGAGAGTTTGTTAGTTTTGGTTCTGATTGTGGATTGTTTTGATGCGATTTTACAGGTTGAGTTCCAAATGGCCAGTAGGACTTGTGTTTCCAACCGCATTTGAATTATCCTGTGTTTTCTCAGCAGAAGATGATGGTGGTGCTTGTGGCATTGAAGCTGTTGACAAGCTGAAAACTACAACATCGGCTCTCTTGATCCTTCTAGACGGTGGCAGATACCCAGCATCAGCTATGCATGTGAAGAAACTCTCAATAT